AAATACAGAATTAGAAATTAGAAACAAAAAATTATATATATATATTGCGGCGCTCAGTCACACGTTGACCTGCGATTGCGGATGCTCTTCGCTGACTCCGCCCATGCGCTCAGACGCGTTTGTATGGCGAAGTGCGACGACGCCATGCTAATGAATGCTGGGGATTGATGATAATAAAAGCCATAGACGGGTTTTTGCTTTTCTCGGGCTTACAACGGAAACTGAAATAGTGCTCTGCAGTGGTGTGCAATCCTGAGTCGCTAGTTTGCCCATATTTTTCTTGTTTCTCTGTTTCGTGTTTGTTTACTTGCTTCACAGCTAGTGTGAAAGTCGAGGTAATTTTGTAGTTGGCCGGCTGGATTGTTCGAGAACGTTTTCTGAAGCTGTGAAACTCATACGAACGTGTATTGCGTCGTTGTTTTGCGTTTTTGTATGCACGTTCAAGTGAGTATTGCACTGAATGTTCCACTTCTAATCAATTACTGAAATTGAGGAATGGGTAGACGTCGTCATCATTCTAAAGGTGGCAACAAACAGCAAGGTGTGCAAGACACTTCAACGGATCAGAACCAGTCGTTGAACAAGTCATCTACACTAGAATCGAACAATGTGTCTAATGGCAATGAAAAATCAGCATGTGAGCAACATGTTACACTGCTTGTTCCTTTTTCTGTTTTATTGAACAGCATTGAGCGCTTCCCTCAGATAAGTCGAATACATGGGAAAAACAGTGTTCTTACCATATCATTTATCTCGCGGAATTGATTATCACATTTCTGTGTGTGTTATCGCAATCTATATCATCATTAAATTAACATTAGTCCGGTGATTAGTTCATTTTTGGTAATTGTTTTGTTGGTTTTCATGATGTCCTCTGTTGGAATTGTCATTCAGAAAGCTAAATTTGTGATTTCTTATGTTTTCGTTTGCAGTCGAAGTGCTGAAAGCGGCAAAATTGCAACAGAATGAATCAATCATGAATGGTAAAGGTCCAATATCAACGAGTACGCCGTTGGCTTCCGATGTTCGTCGTCACTTTATTGCATTTCAGATTCGCTTCTTGAATGCGATAGAACACTTTTATCGTTCTTCCAAGTTTTAGAATACTGTTCCGCTTTCGGAACCTTGTTTCGATCCTTCATAGAGCCATAACAACGTCAACGAGAAATTTCTCCTTTTTTCATTTTAAATTCCCATATATAGGTGTGTTTTATTTTATTGCCTACGTTCCAGTTCCGTAGGAAACAACGTGCTAATGATGGCAGTGGTGCCGCTCGTGTTCCGATTGGTACTAAACCACAGCCCCAAAAATCAGTCACTGAAAAGAAGGAGAAATCGGATGTGAGTAGTCGTAATCTCTCGGAATTTTAATGTTTTTGTGAATCTGAACTTGAATTAATCAAAATTGAGTGTCATGATTTGTCAAGAGACGGTAAACCGTGATATTCTCGTCTGGCTTCTCCATGATGAGCTTGCATGTACCTAGATAAAGAACAAATTGTTCTGAACGAATAGCCTATGATTGGTGAAGGTGATAAGGTTTCGATGGAAAGTTAATCG